TATTAGGAATCACTTAATTGTTGTGTTGAAGTTATTTTATCTTCTTATTTAAAAATATTTTATTTATTTAAATTTTAACTTGAAAATTTAGAGTTTAATGATTAATAGCTCAATTGTTTTTCTTATTTTTTTAAAAAAGAATTTAAGCTAAATTTATTATATATATCATTTTCTAGTTTTTCTAGTGATTATTCATTTTACTAACTAGCTTTTTCATTTTTTTATTAAATATTTAATTATGTTTCACTTTAAATATTTTATTATGCTTCATTTTAAATATTTTCTTTTGTTAGATTTTCTTCTGTTTTTTATATCTGTATTTTATTTGTAATAGTATTTTGTTCTTAATCTTAATTCGGAGTAAAAATATTCTATAAATTATTTTATGAACTATTCTATTTTTATATACTTTACTAAGACTAACTATTTAATTCATTTTAATTACTAATACTGGCCTTGCTTTAATTTAAGCTATTTTTATTGTTTTCATTAAAAATATTATTTTCATTTTAATTACTATTTTCATTTAAATTAATTTCATTTGCATATTCAGTTAGTAGAGAAAATTTTTGTTTGTAAATTATGCTTGATTCATTAAATATTCTTTCTTAATCATCAGCTATTTATTTTGAACTTATTATTGAGTTTTTGTGACTTTTACGATTCTAAGATTATACTTCTGAATTTATTTATCTTATAATAAAATTAGAATTGGTATCATCTTTTTCTCTTGTGATGCTATTTTTATCAATTATTATTTAGTTGATTTTTATATCAAAAATTCTCTTCTGAAAATGTTAACTTGCTTAATTTAATTAATCCTATATTAAAAAATTTTATTTATAAATAAGAGTTAAAAGTAATCTAAGTTTTATTAATAGTTATTTATAGAAAATTAAATACATTATCTTTGTTATACGTGCAAAAATAAATGACTATTTATTCTTTACTCAAATCAAAGTTTTACTTTTACAATTAAATTAGTTTTTTAATTTATATTTTGTAAATTTATTTATTTATTTACTTCATTTATATTATTTCTATCAATTTAAATTAATTAAATTTAATTTTAATTCAAAACACCAAATTAAGGTTCTATTTTATAAATTTCGTTTTGTTTGAATTTATAAAAATATGGTTCATTTGAAGTATTAGTAATTTTAAGCTAAGAATTGTAATTTAAAATATTAAATTATAATATTGATTCTGGATCGAATAACATTATTTTTAATTAGTTTTTAATTTTATTTATAAATAAAATAAAAAATTAATTAATTAAATTATTAGAAAATTGTAAAATTATTTTCTATTAAAATAAAAATTATAATTTTTTTATAAATAACTTTAAGATAAATGATTAGAAAGCATTTATTTTATATTTATAATAAAGAAATTAAATTTTTATTTTAAAAGAAAGAAATTTAAAATTTAAAATTATTATAAAAGGTTTTTTATTATTTATTATATTTTCAATAATAATAAATAAAATAAAAATTTCTTTACTATTTAAAAATAATTTAATAAATAATTAAAATAAAAATATAATTTTTTTTTATATATTTAAAAATATTTTATATTTTTTAATTTAGTTATTAAAATTTATAAAATTTTATTTATTAATTTGCTATTTAATATTTTAAAAAATAATGATTATAAATTTGAAAGTAAGATAGATATAATCGATTAAATTCATTATTTTTTAAACTTAGTATAAATCTTAATATTTATTTCTACATCGAAATAAAGTTATATTAATAATAAATAAATATATTTTAATTATAAAAAGTAATATATTAATTAAAATAATATCAAATAAATATTAAAGTGGATAGTAATTTAATCAAATTATATTTATCCTTAGTAATAATCTTATCAAATATAAATTACATGAACAAAAAAATATTATTTATCTATTGTTTTTATTATTTCTATATTTTTTATTTTAAAAATAACTCAATAAGCAAATAAAATGCCATATCTAAATGAATAATAGCTTTATTTTTTATTTAATTTTTTTTTTATTTTTTTAGATTTTTTAAACTAAAATAAAAAACATATAAGCAAGTAATATATAGCAAAACAATAAGAAACACTATATAATTTTCTTTAAACTCAATAATTAATCAAATTTATAATAAAATTAATTAATAAAAAATTTTATTAAATTTTTAACAATAAATGATCTCCATAAAAATATAATATTTAATTTTGATTATATTTAAATGTTATATTATATTTTGGAATAGATAAACTCTGATAAGTTTGCAGTTTTATATAAGTATCTTTATTAAAAAGGAAGGAATTTGTATTAAAGAAATGATTAAAATACTATAAATTTACTTTAAAAAATAAATTTTAATTTATTAGGAATAGTTCACTCACAAAGATTATTTTTAAATCAAATATTCATAGTGCAACGTATCTTAAAAATGAAATTAATTTAATTAATATTTAATTTTCTATTTATAAATCATTTATGTTCTTAAATATTTTTAGACTTTACAGTATTCATAGATTATATATTAATTAACTCATAACACTTGGATTAAATAATATTAAATAAAAAAAAATACATTAATTAATTAATATATAAATGATTTATTTTAAACTGTAATAACTATTTAAATTATAATATACGAATATATTACATAATAAAATAATATTGAAGCTATTTTAATGATTGTTACTATGTTTATTTATTTTTATATATTTGCTTATGGCATTAATTTTGTTTTGTTAAATATCTTAATAAATAATGGAAATATAGAAATTTAATTAAGTTATTTATTTTTGTAAATAAATAGATATTAATTTAATTATTTAAATTAATAAAGATATTTTGTTTTTTGGAAAATAGCAATGTATTAAATACTTTTTAAATTTCTTATTTTTATTATTATTAAAATTATTTTATGTATAATATTTTATATTAATCTTCTTATATTTAATATAATCAAGATATTCCTAAAATTTATAAATTTAAATTTATTTAAGAATTTTATATTTGTATTTTTAATAAAGATAAATGTAGAATAACTAAACTTAAAAAATAAATTGTTGTAAACTATCAAGAAAAAAATTATTATTATTAATATAAAAAATATTGAAGTTATTTATTGCTTAATTTTTTATTTATTTAATTTTTATCTTATAGATATATCATATAAAAATATATCCTTAGTTTTAAATAATTAAAAATTCTATTGTTATTAAATATTTTTATATATAGGTATAATTTTATTACTTGTCTATATTGCATTTTTATTTTTAATAACTTTATTAAAAAAGGCTATTAAAATAAACATATTTTATTTCAAATTTTTTAATTCAAGTATTACCAAATTATAATTACTTATAAATTGAAAATAATAGAATTTATATTTTAAATTAGAAAATAAATCTTTTTTTTTTAAATGAGTTATTTAAAAATAAAGCAAAAAAAATGAAAAAGCATGAGCAAGTAATATATGGAGTTATCTTCAGTATTTTTTTATTTATTTTTTAACTAAAAAAAATATTTCTATCATTTGAAATCTATTTATATTTTACAAAAAATATATATATATATATTTATTTATATTGAATTTTGGATAGAATTTATTTTATTAAATTATATTTTATTTAATATTTATAGATATTATTATTAATAATATATTATATTATTTTATAAGGTATTAATTAAATATATTATTATTATATTTAATTTTATATTTTATAGATTAAATAATGTAAATATCTTTTAATTATTTTATAAATTTTTAAAATTGAATATAAAATTTTTATTATTTAATTCAGACAAAATACATACTTTTATATTGAATAAGTTACTTATGCTGATATTTTGTAGAAATTTTATGGAAAATTTTATATTTTTAACCAATAATTTGTTTATTTATTTAATGATTTTTGTTTTTTTTTTTTTAAATGAAAATATTATAAATTATAGAAAAATATAATGAGGGTTTAGAAGTTAAAGTTATTATTAATAAAATAAAAGCAAAAATAGAAAATAAATGATATATGTTACATAAGAAGCTTAATTAAATAATAAAAAATTACTTTATTTAAATAAAAAATAAATTTTTAAAATATGTTTTTTTTACACAAAAAATAAAGATATATAAATATATATATATATTTTTTGAAATAAAATAATTATTTAAAAAAATAATTAAATATAATTATAAATGTCAGATTAAATATTTAATATACCAAAATAATAATACGAGTTTAACAAAAATTAAGACGTAAAAATTAAATACACACTTTTTTAATTATATATAAAAAAATATTATTATTTAAAGGCAATATACATTAAAAATTAAAATTAAATTAATTTTGTTTTTGATGAATATACAGAAGATTTTTAAGAAAGTATGAGAGCTGATTTTGAAGCAAAAACAGAAGTAATAAAAATATGAACACCTATAAACTAAAAATAAAATAGTTAGCGAAAAACTAACACAGTATTAAAGAAGTTAATTCTATTAGATGGAGAAAAAATAAATAAAATGTATAACTATTTTTTAGTCTTTTTTAATTTTTATAAAAGGAAATAGAGTCGAATGCAAAATTGATAGAATGGGAAGATGGAACATATCATCTTTTAATCGGAAACTAATATTTTTAGGTATAAGGATAAAGTTTTAAAGGTGAATTATGCACTTAATATGGAGTAATTATGACTAAATTATCATTATTTTTTTTTTTTTTTTAAAGGATTAATAAATAGTCCCATAAATTTAACTGAAGAAAATATACAAATTAAAAAAGGACAACTTTTGAGTATAACAAAACAATAAGCATTTTAAAAATTTAAAAATAAAAATTTGTATATAAAATGTAATATATATTCTAATAAAAAAATTTAATTCTAAAATAAAATTATTTACTTATTGATAATAATTTTTTTATTAAAGATTTTTATAATAAAATATAAATAATTTTTTTTATAATAAATATTTTTTTTAATATCGTATATATTTATTTTTATTTTTAAATTAAAAATAAAGAAAACACATATATATTTGTTATATATTTTTCAAACTTTATTGCCTTTATAAAATACTGATCCTTAATTTCTTTCACCTAGTTTATTTCCTTATATATATTTTAAATGGTATTCAAAATCTTCCATATCTTATAATTCATGACATATTAATTCTTCCTTTATTCTTATTTATTTATTTATTTATTTATAACAAAAAAATATACTTGCTTTGCCTATTTATCTATATTTTTCTTGAAAAATTTTTATGCGCAGATTATTATTATAAATATTAAGGCTAAGTTTTTAAAATACTAGATTTTTCAGAATTTTAATTTATTTTAGGTAAATTAACTTAATTAATTTAATTCATTTCATAAATATTTTAATTATACAAACCAGTACTTTTTAAAATAAAAATATTAAAATTAAAACAAAAATTATTATATAAAAAGTAAATTGCTTAATAATATATATAATAACAATTAAAATAATAAACTATTGAATTTAAGGAAAAATTGATATTTATTCACTAACTTTCTATAAAGGACTTTAATTTTAAGAGTTTGTTTAACTCATTTATTTACTATTCATTGAATGTTGAGTCAATATTAATTTTTTTAAAATTTTAGAAGGTTAACTCATTTCTTTAATAAGTTTCCAATGATTAAGTTATTATCCATCTAATGAATAATCTTTTACCTTTAATTATTAATTTTAAATAAATATATTTATTTTTAATTTTTTTTTTTTTAAATATTTTTTACTCTTCTAAATTTAACTGGCCTTTCTCTCATATTTAAATTACCATAAACATTCATTACATCGTTTCTATTTACAAAATCGGAAAAGTATTCTTTATTAAATTTTATTTTATTTTTAATTATATTTTTTTTTAGTTATTATAACCTAATTTTTTATTAAAAGGTGAAGATTATCCATCTAATAATTTTTAATAATCTTCACTAAATTTTGCTCTTTCATTAATTTATAAGTCTATTGTTCCTATATCCGATTTTACATGTGAAAGAATACTTTTAATATAATATAATAAATATAATTAATTTTTATATTTTTAAAAGAAATAAATTATTAGAAATTTATATTTTATTACTTATAAATAGGAGGAGGAGTAATTTTTTTTACATTAAAATATTCTTTATTTTAATGTTATGTATCTTCCTTGCTAAAAATATTATAGGTTTGTCTATTTACTAATGAAAGTTTTTATCCTTAACTATCTTTTCTATCTCCAATATAAGGATTATTATAAGATAATTAATCTTCTTTTCCATATTTGAGTTTAAAAAACGATGGGCTTTCTTTACTTACTCCAATTCTATTTTCAATAATTTTTTTACCTTCTTTCTTTGTTACAGGAGAATCTGAAATATTACTATATTTTCCTTATAAATAGGTTGGCATATCACCTGAAATAAAACCAATTAATCTAATTTGTTTTTGGGTGTATTGTTTTCTGTATTAGGGTTAGAATTTGTTGTGGTCATTTTTATTTAAATTGTTTTTTTATATTCTTTCTTTATTATGATTTTATTGCGTCTTTTTTTGTATTTTAATTTATTTATATTTTTTATTTATTATATTACTTTTTAAAATAATTTATATATTGTGTATATTTACATATATATGTTTTTTTTTTTTTTTTAAATAGATTATATTTAATAAAAATTATTTAATTTTATTTATATTAAAACTTAAAAATAATTATTTTTTAATTTAAAAAATATTATAATAAGATAACTTAAAAAATATAAATGTAAAATTAGTAATTTAAATTAAATATTAAATCAACGAAATCAATAAATGATTAATTATAATAAACTGATTTAAATTTGAGCAATAATCAATATTATTTAAATTAAGTTCCATAATAATTATTACCAACTTAAGATAAATAAATTCGTTTAATTTTACAAGAATCCCCGTATTAAAAATAAGTATATTAACCAGACCTAAATAGCTAATTAGTAGAATTAGAAATCAGATATTAAAAAGAAAAAGAATTAAATGTAACTTAAGACAAATTAATATAAGATTTACAATAACAAATTATTCTTTTATAAATTGAAAATCAATAAAATTAGTTAAATATAAATAAACAAAGTGCTTGTATTTAATTTGTTTTACTTTGTGCTGAAAATGAAAGAATTACGCATGCATATTTACAAAAAGAAAAAGAATTAAAAAATATATTAGAAAATGTTGCTAAGATAAAATTTTCATAAAATTTAGAATTAGATGTATAATTTTTAATTTAAACTTATGAATAAATTATTCAAAATAATAATGAAATTCGTATAGAATCAAACTAATAATTTACTATTTTAAATGATAAGGAATTCGATTTACATTAGCAAATTAATAGTCTTAACTTAAATATTTTAAAATTATAAAATGAAAACAATATGCTTAAATCATAAACTAAAAATAAAGAATCTTTTTAAAATAATTTGGAAAATTCTCATTAATATAACGATGTAAGGTTTATTTATTATATAAAATATATAAATGTAATATTTTTTCAGTTCAAATGAATAAATATTACTTTTATTTATTAATAAATAAATATTATTTTTATTAATTAATCAAATAAATTTTACATTTTTTATATTTTTAAAAATTTAATATTTATATATATATTTTATTTTTTTAAGGAAATTTAAAGCTTAAAATAATTTATAGATGATTTGGAAAATGACATAATAATATTAAAATAAAATAATAATAAATAGCAAATAGAAATAATAAATAAGTACAATCTATAAATAACTAATTTATAAGATTAAATTGATAACCTATCTAAAGAAAAATAATAATAATTGATTTAAATTTAAAAAATTGAAGACAATACTGAAATATTAATATAAGAAAATAAAAAATTATCCTATGCATTATTATAAAATATATAGGAAAATGAATAATTAAAAGAAGGTTTTATTTTTTATTTTATTTTTTTTAATTTTATTTTTTTTTAAAAAAAAAACCAGAATAATAAACTTTGAAAAAAATATAAATAAGTTATGAAACTAATTTATTAACAATATAAGAACTCAAAAAAAATAAAGATTTATTGTACGAAGAAAATAAAAGGCTAATATAAAATAATGCATTTAGGATAAAAGAATAGGATTAAGCTGTGTATACATTAAGAGAATTAGAGAATATGAAAACTTAATAAGATAAAAAATATTAGAGGTAACTTTAAGAAATGGAAGATTAAATAAATAATCTGAACAGATAAATAATTCACCTATCATAAAACAGCGAATAATAAGTAAAAAAATAAGAAAATATGGATAATCAATATAAATAATTACTATATGAAAACGAAAAATGTAAATCTTAGATTGAAATAAAAGACATTGAATTAAAAAAATTAGATTTTTAAGTAAAAAAAAAAAAAAAGAATATATATTTATAGTATAAAAAAAGCTTTAATAATAAAATAATGAATCTGATATTGTTCAGTAGTTAAATATATAAATTGAATAGTAAAAAAATGAAAATAGTGAGTTAAAATTATAAAATAGTAATTAAAAAAATACTATAATACTTTTAAAGGAAGATTTAAATAATTAAAGAATAAGATAGTAAACATTAGAACAATAATATACTTAAAATTTAGAAGAATGTAAAAGAAAATATGAAATTAGATATAGAGATGAAAGCGAAAGAGAATAAAATTTCACAAAAGCTAAAATGGAAGCATTATAAGAATAAAAAGATTAATTAATATTTAAATTATAATAATAAGATTAAAAAATGATTTAAAATGAGAAAAATATAAAAGAACTAAAAGAAAACTATAAGAAAAATAAGAACAGTTCGAATTATTAAGAAAAGATTATTAAGATAAATAAGGAAAATACGAATATTTGGAAAAAGCAAATACTGGAATATGCGAAAAACATTTATTAATAAAAGTAGAAAATGAAAGATTACATAATGTTTTAAGTAGTTTGTTAAAACAAAATGAAGAACTTTAAAAATAAGTTGATCAAATGTAAATTGGAAGTCGAAAATAATATAATGAATTACTTTTGAGAAATTAAGAATATGATGATATTGGTAAAAATCTAAAGAAAATTATTAATGAATAATAGGATTAAATTTAAAGTCTTGAAAAATAAGTTTATAACTTAAAACAAGAACTTTATAAATAAGATGAATTTTAAAAGAATGTATAGAATTTCAACTAGGAATACGAGAATATTCGAATTAAATTATTAGAATCTGAGAGTCAAAAATAAGAATATTTTAAAAAGTTTTAAGAAACTTAAGCAAATATTATAAATTATTAATAAGTTGAATAATAGATTGTTTATCTTCAAAAAGAAAACGAAAGGCTTTAAAAGATTATTGTTGAAAGATGTAAATAATCGGGTACGTTTTGGTGATTTCATAAAGAATTAATATTTTAATTATTTTTATTAATTTATATTTTTTTTTATAATTAAATTTATTATTGATTTATTTATTTTTTTAATATCAAAAAAATAAAATATTTAAAAGAATATAATTTTAAATTAAAAAAAAATATATAAATATAATAAGTAAATGAAAAATTTTTAAGAACTAATCTTAACAAAAGAATATTTAAATAATCTTTTAAAGTAAAATCCTCGTTTATATTATTCCACGCCATCTTTAAATGATATACTTTATTTGCATTATAAAGGCTTTAAATAAATAGAAAATATTGAGTAATTTGAAAATTTAAAAGTATTATATTTTGAAGGAAATGGTTGTTCTTAAATAACAGGTTTATAAAAAAGCTAAAAATTAATAAGCCTATTTTTATAAGAAAATTTAATTAAAAAAATTGAAAATTTATAGAATTGCTAATTACTTCAAATTCTTGATCTTTCTGACAATTATATTACAAAAATTGAAAATTTGGGAAATCTTAAATTTCTATAAACACTCTAAATAAAAAGAAATAGAATTGGAATTTCAGGAAATAGTAGAGAAGCATTATAAGGGCTTTTAGAGATACCTTCATTAAGTGTAATAGACATTAGCGAAAATTGCATAAATGAAGATGATGAATAATAAATATAAAATATTTTGGAAAATATTTTTTATAAGATGTCAAATTTATTTATTTTTTACCTAAAAGGAAATTTAATTTGCTAAAATATAAAAAATTACAGAAAAATAATGATAATGAATATGCCGAAATTAAAATTTTTAGATGATAAACCTATTTTAGATGAAGAAAGAAGATTTGCAGAAGCATTTAAAATAGGAGGATTGCAATAAGAAAGAGAAGAGAGAAAAAAATATAAATAAGAATAGTTAAATCATATGTAGCCAAAAAGTAAACTTGATGCCAAATAAATATTAGAAAAATATAAAAAGTATCTTATTATTGGATAGAATATTATTAATAAGGAAAATCTAGAAAACTCATAAATTGGAATTACTAATTCTAGTTTTAATGATTTAACTTTATAAACTTATAATACATAAAAATCTGTTCATGATGAATATAGCTAATTTGAACAGCGATAAGAACAATCTTTAAGGTAAAGCTAAAAATCTTTAGAAATTTAATAATAAGATAGTTTAGAATAGAATAGATCTGAAGTAAATTAGATTAATTTTTTGTAAAACAATTGTTTTGATGATTTAGATTGACAAATATATTTTTTAATCAGTGAATGTAAATAAAAAGGAATATATATGTTATTTCCATAAAAGGAAAATATAAAATTACTTTTTTACAATAGTTGAAAAGAAATATAATATAAATACAAATAAAAAAATAGTTTTGAGAATAAATTATATTATTTATAATATAAAAATTAATTATTTATAAATTTATATAATTGAAAAAATATTATTTAAAGTTATAATTAAATATTGAATAAGATAAATAACTTTTTAATATTAACATATAAATAATAAATGCATTCTTAATTTAAAATTGAGAATCATACAATAATTTTAAATATTAAAATTTGATAATATTATATAAAATAACTTATTTTTTTTTTATTTAATAATAAAATTATAAAAAAAAGATTTGAAATTATTAATTTTTATGAATATACTATAAATTAATTTTAAAAATAGATAAAACATATATATTTAAAAATAAATATAAAGATAAGAAGAAAAATTAAAATATAAAAATTATATATATATTTTATTATATTAAAAATATATTTGTATATATATTATAATTATTATGATATAAATATATTATTTAATTAATAAATTAATTATTATTAATTTATAATATTTATTATATCGACACCCAAAATATAAAAATATATATAAAACTATTTTTTTTTAATTTTAAAATAACAAAAAAATGTTTTTTTGTTATTATTTAGTTTCTTAAAAAATAAAAGAAAATCTTTTATTAATTAAATAAATGTAATTGTAATTAAAGTAAAATTATAAATAGATAAATAATGTTAGTATGACTATAATAAATGTTCTATATTTCGATTTAAAAGTTTTTTTTTATGAAAGTAATTAAAAAAAATTAATTTAAATTTTTGTCAATGCTAATTTTTTTAATGTACTTATTTTTAATATTAATTTTTATAAATACTTTTTTATAGATTAAATATTTAATTAATAAAAATAATATTAAATAAACTTTATTATATGTTTGTATTTTATTTTTAGTTAGAAAAACACTAAAGAATTCAAAATAAATATAAAAATTAAAATTAATTTTTTATTTTCAAAAATGTTAACTCTTTTTTTAATTTCTAAGTTATTAGTATCTTATTTAGACCCAAAATGGTAATAATTTGATAATTTTTGATTTGATTAATATATTAATGAATTAACAAAGCATATTCTCCGCCTGGTATAGTTAAACATATCACTTATCAATTTTTTTTTTTATAATTTATTTAAAAACCTTATCAATAACAGAAAAAGTTAAGAAAAAACCAATAATACGTTTTTTTTTTACTATCAAGTTTTCAAATAAAAACATAAAAATACAATATGAATAAATAATAGATTAAAAAAAAAATATTTTATACTAGAAACTAGATGAAATATTATAATTTAACCACACCTACAAAAAACAAGTAAACTCCAAGTTAGACGTTTAAAAAGAAATTTTCAAAAAACAAGATTAAGCTATTCTAAGACTCCTTTTTTTTAGTTGGATATAGATGAAATACTTGGTGATTATTGGATTTTTAGTAACTCTTGAGGGACTAAATAAGGAAAAAAAGAGAATATAAGAAACTCAAAAAAGAAGTTTAAAGTAAATTTGTAAAATATTATGCTCTTTTTAATAGATATTTTAGTTAAATATAACGTAAAGTTTAATTAATATTAATTAATTATTGGATTCATTTATTATTTAAAAGTTAATATTATTAATTAATTTTTTATTTAATTATAAGTATAATATAAATAATTTTTTTTTATATGTTCAATCAATTTCGTTTTTCATGTAATTATTTTGGTTATCACTTTGTTAGTCTTCATAAGTTTATATTCTACGATTTTCTTTTTCGATTTGGGCTGTTCTAAGTAATTCATTGTATTCTTAGTCTTCTTTTTAATATATTTTATCGTTAAGGTATGTTTCAGATATGTTTTAGTTAATCAATAATGCTTTTTAATTTTGTGATTGTTCTTTAAGTTTTTTTATATATTATTAATTAAATTCAATTTCTTATTTAATTATTTAGTTTTGTTTTTAAATATAATACAGATTCTTAATAAAAAATAAAATAAAAAAATTTGTATATTTATTTTACTTTTTCAAGAGCAATAAAAATGAGATCTTTTGGTTCTTTATGAAATCCATAATTTTAATATTTACTTTCTTTAAAATCACATTTAATTGATTACAAAATAGATTTGAATTTTTCTTTAAAATGCCAATTTTAAAGACTCTAAGGTAAATCCCTTCTTTTTTCATCTAATTTTTATTTTATATAATCCACTATAAACCTTTATTGTCTAATTTATTATTATTATTATTATTATTATTATTATTATTATTATAATTATTATTATTATAATTATTATTAATATTATTATTACTACTATTGCATTTACAATTATTATTACTATTGTTTTTATATTGGTATTTAATTTAATCCATTATTTATATTTTATGGTCCTTACATTCCTATTACAGGCTAATTTACATTAGTATTTATTACTGGATTAACTTGATTTACTGGATTAACTGGATTTACTGGATTTACTTGATTTACTGGATTTACTACTGCATTTATTGCCGGATTAATATTATTTTACATTCCATAATTTTTAATTTTAATATTTCCTTTATTTTAGTTAATATTTGGATTATTTGCTTAAGGAATTATTTTATTTGGATTTATTTGTGTTTACAAATTTTAAGGTCCAACAATTTGACTTGTATTTATTTAAGGATTTATATTTGCATTTATTGGTGAAACCATATTTGCATTTACTTGAGTTTGAACTATATTTGGATTAACTTATTGAATCATATTTGGATTTCCTATATTGGGATTTATTTATCCAGCAATATTTGGAGAAATATTAGGAGAAATATTAGTTTAAATATTTTAGGGAATATTGGGTATAATTTGATTTGGAGTATTTTGATTCATTTAAGAAGGATGAACATTTGGATTTATTTATGTTCGTATATTTGGATTCATTCTCATGTTTGCATTTTATTGAATTTATTATTAAGGAGGAGGCTATTAATAATTATTGTTTGCCATTTAAATTTAACCTATTTATTATTGATTTTAAATTGGAGGTGAACCTCTATATCTTTCATCTATTGGATAATTATTTTACATTTACTTTTTTAATAAATTTTTGTTTTTGTTTTTTTTTTTTTTATAAAATAAATCTTTTTTCTATATAATTATTTATTTATTTTTTTCGTAAAATATATATATATATATATTAATTATTTATAATTTTTTTAAAACAATCTATTTTGATTTAAAAAAATTAATTTATATATTTTTTTTAAAAAAATAAATATATTTTAACACTATTTATTATAAATAAATAATTACACTCATCCACAACAGCCCTTTTTTTTCTTTTTTTTTAGAAACTAATTAAATTTTGATTAATTATATATATAGCTTTATTTTTTTAAAAAAATATTACTGCTATTTCTTCTTTTAATTTCATAATTTAGTTTTCTCTTTCTTATAATTCTTCTCTTTTAATTGCTACTTTTTGTTAAAAATCGAATTCCATTTTTAATTCATTAAACTCTTTTGTTTTTTACAGAAGTAAACCTTCTAAATTATTATTTTATATTTCTATTTAAGCATTTCTTTCATCAATCCTGGATACATATTCATTTACTGTTGCTAATTACTCTTTATATAAATATTCTTTTTCTTAAAAAAGTTTTTTCTCAATTTATTAATCTTCTTTTTTTAAATCATATTTATAAGATAATTAAAGAGTTAATAATTTCATCATTTAACTATTAACTTAATTAATTGTTTTAATTAAAATTTCTGTTTTTTAAGTTCCAACTGCTTATTTTTAATATGTATCAAGAAACCTTTATTTTATTTTTTTATTAAATTTAATTTTTATTTAAATTTAACAATTGAAAATCTGTAATATAATTTTCAATATTTTCACAAGTATATTCTTCTTAATAAATATTATCTTTTATTTTTTTAGAAATTTTATTTATCAATTCTTCATTTTCACTTTAAATTATTATTATTTTTGTTTATATTTTTTCTTAATTTTTTTAGTTTAATAAAATGAAAATTACGTTTGAGCTAATTCTTCATTTAATTGAAAGAATTCTTTTTCTCTTTTTTGCATTATCTCAATTAACTCCTATCTTATTTAATAATAAATTTGACTTCTTTCTACAAATGATGCTATATGATCATATCTATCTAGAGCATTATCTCGTATTTCTCTAAATTTTTCTTATAAACAACAAATTCTATAGCTTTTTCTTTAGATTAAAAGTACTCTCTTAAATCACTTTCATATTATAATAATCCTACTTATTTAGCTTTATCACATTCATTTATAATAATATTTTCCCAAGCTGCTTATAAATTAGGTACTCCTTATTTACAATTAATATTATCAACAAAAGAAATCAACAAAGAACACATCATTCTTGCATTTAAAGGCTTGTTTTTGAATATTTTAGCTTTTGTCTTTTAAAATATGATTTTTCTAAGATTATTTATTTGAGTAATAAATTATTATTTTAATTAATTTTATGGAATATTATCGAGTTTTTATAATTTATCAATTTCATTTACAGGTCTTTATATTTTAATAATAAATTGCACATATATTATTTAAAATTTACTAAACAAAAGTAATACAATGTCTATCTTTAAAATATTAAAGAATACATTTCCGTATATTTTTTTATTATTTATCAGTTACATTCTTATTATTAAAATATATATAATAATTTATTTACAAGAAAAATTAAAAAAAAATAATATATATATATATGTATATATATATATATATACATATATATATATATATATTTATATATATATATTACATTATCATTTAATGAATTTTCCAAATATTAATTTTCTGATATATTTCTACCTTTTTAATCTGTTATTTCTAAAACAAAGTCTCTCAAAACCCACATAAAACAAGGTGAATATTTCCACAAATCATCATCCTAAATAAAGCTTCCATATTCATCTACCACAATATTTTTGGATAGACTACAAGTCAACCCTAGTTGAGAAATCGCGCTTTCATTAATACAACCTTTGCTATTAAACATAAAAAAGCTCGAAATAAGCATTGTCAAAGTAAATATTTTGGCATCATTATTAAAAGTGTTTGTAGATTCTACATTAGAAGATCCTTCAGTATCAATAAAAAAAATATATAAATTCTCCTATTCATTATATTATGGATCTGGCCACATCCAAATACCTTAAGTGCAGGCTTTAGTTGAAGATTCAACTTTAAATCCTATTCCTTTATCAATATTTAATAATTTATTTATAAGGGTGCTTTTTCCTGTTCTATACAAACCAACAATTGACACAAAAGCGATATTGTTTTCATCATATTATTCAAGTATTTCTAATGCTTCTTAATTTAAAAATAATGTATTATCATTTTTATTAAAATTTATTAATTATAATGATTTTGCTTGTTGTTCCTTATATGATTGTAACATTTATATCTTTATATCATTCTGAGTTAAGTTTTTTGAGTTCAAATTTACGTGATTTGTACTTATTTTTTATATTTTTTATGATTAATCATTGTCATTTTCTTCAGAATCTTCAAATTTTTCATTAAATTTATAATCTTTTATTTTAAATAATGTAAGTAAATATATAAAATAGCTTTTTAATACTCATTTTTTATTTCAAGATTTTTATATAATTTCTTGTATATTTTTTTAGATGAAAAATTAAATATTAATTTTAAAATAATAAAATATTTTTGATATAAATGATTATTGCAATTATTTTTTAAAAATATTTGATATTTCAATTAATTCAATTTTAAACTAGTTTTTTTATCAATTTACATATTATTTGTCTTAATTTTCTTTAATTGTTTACTTTAGATAAGTAGAATAACATAATATTTATTTTTAAAGAAAAAATTCATATATTTTTACTATAAAATTTTAATTTCAAACTTAAAATAAAAATAAAATAAAATTAATATTTAAATTTAAATTTTTATTCCATTAGAAAAATGATATTTTATATTTTACACCCACTATAATGTCCATCTATTATTATTATTTTGGATTTTAAGATATAAACCGCTTTTACTTATTGATAAATAAAGAATTTAAATTTTAATTATTACTATTTGGTATCAAATAATTTTATTATAATATAAATATATAAAAAAATAATAGCCAGATTTAAATAAAGAACAATTTTAATTTTGGTGTAAAAATATTAAAACAATAACTATTTTATTTTTATAAAAAAAATATTCAAATTCTTTAACAAGCCCAATTTATAACTTTTGGTAAAAAATCTTATAATTCTTCTTCATGCCAACAATCATGCCACATATTATCATAAAAAAGTACTTGTTTGTCTTCACTTTAACTTCTTTCTACTAAGTCAAATCCAACATCTGGATCTATTAGTTTATCTAATCCCCCTTAAACAACAATAAAAGGACATTTATAATTTTCAAAAGTCTTATTACTACTATTTATAGCTTCATATATTACCTAAATAGTTTTCAGGCACATATTACCTTTGTATGTATTTGAGTCATTTCTCATAATTTTTGTCATTAAAGGACTTTTATGGCAAGTTCCTTCATTTTTATGTCCAAAAATATGCCAATCAGGTAATATATAAACCATTAAATTTACAAATCCTAAAATTAGTTTGCTTTAGTTATGCTATATTGCAGGAGCCATCAATATAGCTCCTGCAAAAAGTTCAGGATTTTCCAAAGAAAGTCTATAAGACGTCATTCCACCCATAGAAAGACCTGCAAGGAAATATTTATACTAATCTTTACCATATTAGTCCATTATTTTTTTAACAAAAAGCTTACTATCGGCTAAATGAGTTTCCAAACTTTCTAAATATCCACTCTTTCCTTCACTTTATCCAAATCCTCTATGATCAAAACCTACAACTATAAATCCTTTTTCCGAAAAAGCTTTTGCTATATGTGATCCATGTGCAACGCTACTATTGAGACCATGAAAAAGAAACAAAATAGCTTTTGTTAGATGATTTTCAGGCGGTAAATATCGATAAGTCTTAAGCTTTATATTTTTTTGTAATTTTTCTGAAAATACAGAGAAATCAAGGAAATCCGTTTCAGGAAATTTAAGGTCTTTTCGTGGATCTTCAAAAATAATATTCGGATCTTATTTAGCGCTGTTAATTTTAAGTAATTTATTTTTTTAGTATTCCTTTGACTTTCTATTTTATGGAATTTATTGACTTTCCATTTTTAATTTTTAATTTTTTAATTATTATTTTATTGCTTTAATTTTAAATTGAATTTTTTTCAATCATAATTTTTTTTTTCTATCTAAATATTTTTCTTCTTTTTTTTTTTTTTCTTTACTTATTCTTTAAAGGAAGAGTAACTTAAAGAAACTTTATTTTTATATATATATATTAAAATAAAAACAAATAATATTCACTTTTAAATGACTAAATAGTTATTTTATAATATTAAAAGAATTAATATGTCCATTTTATTTAAAAATACATAAATAATAATATTATAAAATATAAATTTAACTTTAATTATAAATCAAAATATTTAACTTCATTTATAAAATAGATAAAAATATTAATACAAAATAAATTAAAAATACTAATAATCAATTTAAAGCTCTATTTTAATCTATTTTATCTTTACTTTATTCATCATCATTATTAATGATGAGTTTCTCATTTTTGCTCTCTATTTAGTCTTTATTAATCTCACTTTAATTATAAATTCTGGACTAATAATATTATTCATACATGTTTTCTTCGCTTTCAATGTTTGGTAATACTCTAGCAGCACTCAAACTAATAATTAAGCAATAAAAAACTAATAAAAGTGAAGAAACAAAAAAGAAGAAATTATAAATCATAATACCATTAAGTCCTGTAACGCAAACTGAGTTTTTTAAACGTGTAAATACTTATTTAAGAAAAGTGCAATCAATTTATTTTTAAATTCCATTATATTTATAAGTAGTTGATTTAAATAATTCTGTAAACTCTTCGTTTATTTTATAAACTTTTATTTATTTCTTTTCTATATTAATATCTAAATCATCAACTTAAGCACTTAAAGAAAACAAATCTTTTTCAATATTTCCAAATAATTTTTACACAGATTATCTATACCTAAAAAATAGAAAAAGTAAAATACAAATAAAAAAAAGTAAAAAAATATTACTTTTATATTTAATCATATCTAAGAAAAATATTATTACTAAAATTATTATCACATTTATTTTAAAAAGCTTAATTCTTATATCTTTCTTTAACAAATGATTCCTTAATTTTAACTTTAAGACAAACTGTAAATCCCAAATCAAACGAAACATCATTTTATTCAGTAATAACTGTTCCATAACTACAATCCTAATCTTCCCAAATCCATTAATCCCTACTAACATTACACGTATTCTACTAGCTATTCGGCATAGAATAATCAGTCCATAAACTAAGTGATTAAACAGCACTTTGGCTTTCTTTATCTGCTGCCAATTTTTCATTCTAAACTACATTTTGAACGAATTAAATTTTCGAATTTAAAGCTTGTTTACTCGATTTTAAGTTATAAAAATTATCAATACATTTTTCTAAAACACTTATTTATTCAAAATATTTTTCTCCTTAAAAAAAGATTATTTATTCATTTAAAACACATTTATTTATATACTCTTTTTCAAAAGTAGGAAATCTCCCTTCTAATAAAATCTAATCTTAAACTGTACAAAATCCATTATTAATTCCAATTCCCAAGACATACATCAAAGCTGAAAAAGCAAGGCATAAAATCAAAATCCATGTCCCACAATACCAACTAAAATGTAAGAATAAAGCCATTGAATTTAATTTAAACCATCCTACTAATATGAACCCCAAAAGGCCAGAAATTACAATAATAAGTATAAATTCGAAGAAAAACTCAATCATATTTTGGCCTATTTCAATATATGTTTTATATTTATTTAATTTAATAAGCATTTCATCTAAATATTAAACAGCTTTTTAAGTTTAAATGTTTATTTAGTTGATTCCTTATGTACATTCTTATTATATTTTTTATTTATTTTCAAATAATTGCTAAGTTGTTTCTCCTATTTTTTCTAATAAATTGATTTTATCTTTCCTTATTTCTTACTCATTTTTTAATTGTTAAGACATAGTACCTTAAGTTGTCAAAGGACCAATTTCTTAAATAAATTTGCAGTTTATTTCTTCTTTATGTTATTCGTTTGTTAATTAATCTATAGATGGATTTATTAGTTTTTAATTCTTTTTTTATATTTATATTTTTATTACTTTATGTATTTTTTATTTACTTTATATTTTTCATAAAAAACAGGTATTTTATCTTCAACCTTTTAATATTCTTATAAAAGTGATTTATCATTAATTTTTTCTATTAAATGTTTTTATTCTAATTAAGAATTTATTTGCTAATAAAGAAGTTTTATGTTATCAATTCCTCCATAATTGGTTTTCCAATATTAATTTTTTTTATTTTATATAGTCCCTAAAAGAACATTTTAAGACCAAAGTAAAGTACATTAAGCTTATTTTAAAGAATTCGGAATATTATTTGTCATAAAAACCCACCCGGAGGAAAATGCAATTAGTCCTCCAAAAATAATAATGCAAATAAAATATAAGTTTTTTTCACATTGACTTTATGTTTCTCTATTAAAATCGATTTAGCAACATCTCCTTAATATTTTAAAACTCGGAGTACAAAATATTTAACAACAACATATCATTTAAAATAATATACTTAACATTATTATAAGTCCAAATATTTATATTTTTGAAAATATTTGTTAATAATAATATGGATCAATATCTTTATGTTCAAAAAGGATTTAATATATTTCATTTGGATTCTTTTAATGTATATCATATAAAATGTTTGAATATTGGGATAATTTTTATTCTGACTAAGGCCATTAAGCATCGTCTTAAAAATTAAAATCGGAACATTATGCTGCTAACTAATTTTACTTTTCGTATTATTATTTTAATAATTCTGATGTTGTATATCTTGATTTAATGTTTAAAATTTAAAAAAATAATATTAATAAAAATTTATATGCTAATTACATTTTTATTTTATTTTATTTTTTAATATTTAAATAAATAAAAAAATATTTTTATTTTTTTTAAATAATTTTTTTAATTAAAATTTCATGTTGTTTTTTTTTTTTTTAAATAAAAAAATAACATTTTATTTTATTAATAATTAAAAATATATATTTAAATATTTTTTATTTTTTTTCATATGTTAATTAATTTATTATATTATTCAAGAAAGTATTCTTGTGTACTTATAATTTCTCCTTCAAAATTTTTTTAAAAATTAAGATTAACATAAATAATTTTAATTCCCTTAGCTCTAAAAATAGTATTTTTAAACTCAGTAATTAAATTAAATTCCGAAAAACCATCATCTCCATGAATAAAATGATAAAATCCTTAAATTTCAATACCAATTTTTTCCTAAGGTAAGTAAAAATCGATAGAGAAAATATCTTCAACTACATATTCTTTAACATATTATTTTCCAAATTATTTCAAAAAACGTTCGAATTAAACTTCATATTTAGACTGTTTACTTTAACTAATTTAATTTTTGAAAAAAGAATAATATTTATTAAAATTTTTATTTAAAATTAATTCCTAATAAAAATTTTTAAATTAATTTTATTTATCTTTTTTTAAAATAATAAACGATTTACAAATAGAAAAAGCATTAAAAAACTCAGATTAGCCTTTGTTAATATATAAATGCTTAAAAGTAAAAAAAAAATTCCAAAAATTTTAATTTTCAATTTAAATTCTACAAAACTAAAGACAAATTAAATTATAAAAATTAAATTTTTCCTCTTCTTTAATATTTTTAGAATTTAATATTTCCAAAACGAATTTCATTAAGTTTTCTTCGATTTCTTTTTTGTCCAAAATTTTCCTGTTTATGCAAGATAGCAAAAGTTTTCCAAAAAAATCAGTAAAAAATTAATTTCTTTAATACATTTTTAATTTATTTTCATTTAAGAAATTCTCTTAATAAAATCTTTTTGAATCTCTAAATGTATTTAGGCTTTTTCCAATTGTATAAAATAAGCTTTTAATTTAATTCATATTTAGTTTTTTTATGTTTTTTACTAAAAAATTCTCTAAATTTTATACAAAAGTTCTTTATAGAGATTTTGAAAAACTATAAATCTCTATATTAGATAAAATATGACTTAAGTATATGTATTATGAAAAGTTTTATTCATATAAGTGAATATTTTATACACATAATGTAATTATTCTATTTAAAAAACGACCCCTTTTATTTCTAATAGTAACATATTCTTGCTTTTGAATATATTTAATTTAATATAATATAGTTATAATGCTTTACAAATTTTAAGAATATTCAAAAGTAAAGAAACTTTCGTAATTTAACATTCCACAAAATTAATAAATAAGCTATTTTTAAAATTTATATAATAGTTATATATCATGTTTATTATTTAGCATTTTGTCTATGAAATTTATTGAATTCCAAAAATAAAAATGTTTTAAACTTTCGTCTTTAATAAATTAATTTATTGTTTTTTGAGGATTTATTTGAATAAATATATAAGATAAGTATTCATATAGTTGCTTTTCTGGTATTTTTTCTACTTTCTTTTATTTTAATAATAAAAATATGCTCATAAATAAATAAAGCTATTCAGTATTTTTTTAAGACTCAGGTATTTCAATAGATTTTATAAAATTTTTTTGATCTTCTGTTATTCCTTGTAAATATATAATTGATAACAAAAGATATTATAAATCTATTTTTATTTCATTTTAGGGCTTTTTTTCTAATTCATATGATTTTTAATTTATTATTTTTTATAGTTTAGGGTTTAAATCTTGTATTTAGAATGTTTTATTAGATTATGTTTCGAAAATTGAGTTATAAAATATGTTTTTTGTTGCAATTGATTAATTTTAAATTAGTTTTATTATATTTAAAAGTTCTTTTTTTTAATTTAATGACTATTATGTACAAAACACATATTTAGTTATGTTTATTTGTTCAAATTATTTGAATATAAGTTATAAAATCATAAATTTTAAAATTATTTTATAATTAAAAGATATCTTGTAAAATATATTTAGTTTCTAAAGTATAAATATATTTAATTCGAATTTTTTTTCATTATTTTTGTTTATATTTTTTTATTTTAATTAAAAAAAGATTTTAAATTAAAAAGACTTTACATTTTTTACTTTAAAATGGGAAAAATTGCAAATATTTATTAAAAATTAAAAAGTTAAATTAACAATTCAATATTTATTAGAAAATATGATGTTTTTTGTGATGATATAATCAATACGTATATAAATTTTTTACAACATAAATAAATGAACATATATATTACAATAATAAAAAAAGAATTAGATACATATAATATTTTTAACATGTTAACCGAGCTTATAGATATAGATATAATATATTCTATACTGTTAGTATAAATAAAAAAATTAGGCTATATATGATTTTTTAAATTTTTAATATATAAATATTATAATAGCTAGTTCTTTTTTTGTTGCTTTAGCTATTTCTTTGACGAATTATCCAGAAAGAATAGCATATAGATTAGCAAGCCCTATGTTGCTTGATAATGTAACAATTTTTCTTTTATATAGTCTAAATAAAGAACTAAATGTGAAATTATCTGTTGACAGAATATTAGAAGAATATGATAAACTAGAAAAAGTTGATAATATAACATTATCTGACTTGGCTTTATTTGAAACTGATCGAGGAGTCCCTTAATTAGCCTTTTAATGTTATTAAATATTACATTTAAGAGATCCATCAAAATTTGCAACTAATTCGGATTTAAAAATAGAAACAAGCAAATTTTAAAGTAAAAAAGAATAAAATAACTTAATTGAAAATCCTGATATAAATGAAGTTTTGGAATAAATTTAATGATTAGTTTTTAATTTAAATATAGAATAATCATTTAATATTTTTGTATTTTTTAACTAAATTTTTTGACTTCCAATTTATATTTTTATTTATAAAAACTATTATTATTTTTTTCTAAATATCTGCCTTTATTTTCACGATATACAAATAAATATAATTATTAACATAATATCTTAAAAAAAAAAAGATTAAAACAAAAATAAACATTATAAATAAATTAAGATAAGACTATATTAAATAAATAAATTTAAAGATAAAAAATTAGTATTATTTTTTATATTTTACAAATTAAAATAAGTTTAGAAAATAATAAATTGAATTTTTAATTAAATTCAAAATCTTTTATAAAAAATAAAATATATATATAATATTGATAAAATTAAACAAAGAAAAATATGAGATAATATTTTATTAAATTTTAAAAATTAATAATAATAGTTTTTTTAAAAAATATAAAATTATATTTTTATTGAATAAAAATTAGCTATTTATAGAATACCTCTTAATTTAAAAAAAGAAAAAAAAAATTATAATAATTTTAATTTTAATAAAATTGAAATTCATTAAATAAGGAAAAAAAAATATATCTATTTTAAGTAATAATATAAGCTTAAATTTACAAGTAAAATATTCAAAATTTTTAAGATAAAATATTTATAAATTTATAAATAATTAAATAAGAAAATAATAAAATAAAATGAAATTATTAATATTATTTTTATTATTAATAATATTATTAAATTTAAAAGTATTTACTATTAGTTTTAACTTTAATGATTATTTAAATAAATATTAAGAAAGAAAACTTTAAATTTGTGATCAATAACCTGCAGAATGTTATAAAAATACTTTAGGTGAAAACATTCTGACTAGTTGTAACTGTAGTAATTAATGTTATTATTTATATAGTATTAAAGACGAAACGACATAATTAACTACTGTTTATAATATATTGATTGAATGCGTTTGATTATGATTATTTAGATTAGTATTTACTTTATATTATTTATACTAATTTAAAATGCATTAATTATTACTTATCTATTAAATTTATTTTAAATTTAAAATATCTATTTTAACTTTAATTTAAATATATGATTTTTTTTTTTTTTTTCAAATAATTGTTAGATAAGTATACTATTTATAATCTTTATAAGAAAACTGTTTAAAATTAATTTTTATAATGAAAACTTATAATAATTTTTAATTAAAATTTACTATTTTTTTTTTTATAAAAAATGTTTTTATAAATACATAATATTAAATATATATTTATCTCCTACTTTCACATCATTAAATTACATTTTTATTTTTTATTTGTTTAATGTTTGCTAAAATATAGTCAATTGAATATGAGTTTTATGAAACAACATCATTAAGTTATTTAAATCTAATTTATATATTTTTAAGCAAATATTTAATCATGGCTTTTTGGTTTTCCTTCAAAAAATATTCATGGATAAATAAAATAGATTCAGCCCACATAAAATTATATTAAATTTCTTAATTTTTTTCTAATAAATTACTTATAAGTAAAATTAAATCTTCCAAATATACTTGAGGAATAATTTTACAGATAGAGAATATTTATTATAAGGGATATTAAGATAAGCCTATTCTAATAATTCTTTATTATTCAATTAAAGTGCTATTATTATACCTTTAGAATATTATTTTTCTTCAAAAGCTTTCATAACATTTCCAACCGTAATATTTTCATCTAATTCATAAGGATTAAAATATTTATTAATAGCTTATCCAAAAACTAGCACTCCTTCACTTGTTGCACATACCCAATTATCTTCTGAAGGTGAAAAAGAGATACATCTACCTAAAAAGAATAAAAATTATATAAAATATATTAACATAAAAAATGAATACTTTCTACTTATTATTTCATTGTTCTTTTTGAAACATCGAAATTTTTAGCCCCAGGCAATACATGATCTTTCCTTTATTCATAATCTGAATCATCAAAATCATCAATTTCATTTTATATATCTACTCCCTCTTTAATAAATTTGCTATTAAGTTTGTTCAAAACTCCATCTAAAGACCTATTATTGGAAATAGAAAACTTTCTAATCATAATTCTATGCCTTAATTCATACAAGCAAACAAATTTAGAATTTCCGCCAGCCAAAATATAATCTCCATCAATACTATAGGAAATACTTTTGAAATATTTATATGTATTTTTAGTTCTGTCATTATCATTTCTTCCATATTCCAAATCTCTTTTGCAATCCAAAATACCAACAACAGAGTTATTTTCACTATTCCATAAATAAATTTCTCCTTTTATAGTCGCCACACAGTATTCTTTTCCATCTCTTCTTATATCCAAAGCTGTTATTTCAGCATTATGGGAAAGTACTTCTGAGTTTAACTTTCTTGTATATATTTCATGCATACGTAAATTTTTATCCCAAGAACCTGAAAATAAACGTTCACCGTAAAACTTTAAACAAGAAATAGGGGCTTCATGTCCAGAAATAGTTTCCAATAAATTTCCTGTTTATAAATTCCATAAATAAATATTATATGGATCTATAGCTCCTGCGCAAACTAACTCTCCTGATTGATCTACTGCTACGCAGTTTAATTATGTATTAATATTTGGTTTCAGAACTCTGAAGCATCTAAAATAAATAAAAAAAAAGATTAAGTAATTATTTATTGCTATATATATATATATATATATATTTTACTTGTATCTTAATGTATCAAAAGCTCTACATGTTCCATCTAAACTACTTGTAATTACTGTATTCGCTCTACTTGTGAAAGTAATACCAGTAACCTTGGAATCATGTTCATTAAAAGTTGAAAAACAGAAGTGCGTTTTGGCATCCCAAAGTCTTACTTTTCCATCCATTCCTCCTGAAGCAATAGTTAAGCAATCTTCGGAATAGGTTACTACATTGCAATCATTAGATAGACATTATTAGTCTAATATATATGTCTAACTTCTCCATTCCCAAACCAATAGTTATCCTATTTTATTTATTCCCATTGCTATCCAACTTCCTGAAGGGTTCACTGCTAATGTATTTATTCGGCTATTCGTAATTCCAAAAGTTTATATTTCAGTTAAGCTTTCTGGTGTTTCTAAACGATATAAACTATAACTTCCTGTTTTAAAACCTAATATTATTGTTTGAGTTTATATATGATATTCACATGATTTTAAACGACCTCCTTTAAATATTTCCTTCTTTTATTATATAAAACGACCCTTTTCAACTTTATTTTCAAATTCAGTTAAATATTATGATTCATTAATATCTTAATTAATTTTTATTATTTTTTTTATAAAAAAAGACAATATTTATTTATAAATTATTTACTATTTTATTCACATTCTTATTCTTCTTCTTCATTTTCTTATAATTGTAAATTTATTTTTTAACCTTTTTTAAATTAGTTGAAATTCTTTTAATGTTTATATTATTCAGAAAGATAATCATCAACCCATTTCCAAATCACAATTAAACCACTTTTATCAATAGTATAGAAATAATCCATATTTTAAGAAAAAAAGACTTTATAACTTCATGTTTATTTGATGAAAATGTTATTGTCTAATAATGTTTGAGCTTATGTAAATTATGCATTTTTACTGTATTATCTTTACTTGAAGTTATTATGAATCTGGAATCAGGTGACCATTCTTTTTTTTTTTTTATAAATGCTTATATATATTTTATGGTTTTTATTTTTACCAATATTTGTTATTAAATCACTATGTTAACCTTTGAACTTTTTTACGAGAGATAAATTTTCAAATTAACGCCATAAAGAAGGTGATTCAAATATTCTGAAAGTAATACCTATTGATACTGCCAAAAATAAACTATTTGAAGAGAATTTTATGTCATTTACTTGTTATTTAAAATTATAATGGGCTATTATTCGTCCTGTTATCACATTTATTATTATTGCAAATCCTTCTTTATCTACAGCTATCAACACTTTAGAATCTGGAGATATTGCAAGCTTTTTAATGTCAGAACGGGCTTCTATATCAAATGTTTGGGTTTAATTTTTATCTAAATCTATTACTTTTATTCTATTTGAAACTGCAGTAAAAAGAACATTCTTCTTAGGAGAAAATAATATGTTTCCATCTTTGTATAGAGTACCACATATATTATTAAGTTAAAAATTGCCTATCATCTTGCTTTTTTAAAAATTTTATTAGATTTATATTTTTTTTTTTATTTTATATGTATATTAATTTATCCTTTTTTATATTTGTTAGCATTAAAAATTTATATTATTATTTCTAAATTTTTAAAAACAATATTTTTTTAAAATTCAGCAATATTAATACAATAAACATATTTTTTTTTTTTCTATTTTCTTAAATAATAAAAATAAATTTGTAATTAATATTTATTAAGATATGTTTTTATTAAAATCTTATCTTTAAAAAATTTTAGATATGTTTGAGGTAATATAAATTTAAAAATAGAATAATATAATGATAAATTTTATTTTTAAAGCTATAAATTAAAATAATGATTTATATGTAAAAATATTTATATAAGCAATTACAATAATATTTTTTACTTTAATAATAAATAATATAACTTATATAAAAAAATAAGGTTTATCAAAATTTAAAAATCATATATAAGAAAAAAATAAAGAAAATAAAAGCACAACCAATAAGAAACTTTTTAAAATCTTCAGATAAAACAAATCCTTAAGAATTATCTTATGTAGGTTAAATATTTTCAGCTTCCAAAGGATTCATAGGATATTGAAGGTTTGTTCCTTACCAATTCTAATTATTCACTGGAGGAACATATTAAAACTAATTATTATAGTATGGTTATTACTAAAATTATTATTAATAGTTTTAATTATTATAATATAAATTGTTATTTTAATAATCATAATTTTAATTTAGTTAACTGAAAGGCTATTATTATACATTTTAATTCATCTATTATTAATTATAACTATTATAATATATTTAATTTGGTTATTATACTAAATTTGGAATATCTAAAAGTGGATTATTCACATTAATTTATGTCAATAAATCTTAATTATTCATATTATTTTAAGGATTCTAATCCTAAACTGATTTTTATGATAATGGGTATTCTGTTTTTATTAATTTAATTCCATTTGAATCAGTAGAAAGCTTAAGCATAGGATTTCCTACATATGTTTTTTCCATATCCAAGTTATTATCACTTTCATATATTATGCTTTTTTTTTTAGTTGATTACATCTTCTTAAATAATGTGTTTTTTTTATGAGATAATTATAATTTTAAATAATTAATTTAATTATAAAAAAAATTAATTTTATTTTTTATATAAAAAATAAAAATATAATAAATTATAATTTTTAGTAAATAAATAAATCCAATTACAAAAATGCTTTAATAATAAAAGCCAGAAAAAGTTGATATTTCATATAATGTAATTACAAATAAATTAATATAATAATATAAATAGATAAAAAAATATCTTTCATAACTTTTTATATATAAATGAGTAAAAAAATTAATGATTTATATAAAAAACATTAAAAAATAAATATACAAACATATAAAATTATATATATTTAAATGACTTAAAATCAAATTTATTAACTTAAAAAAGAAAATAATTTCCATATTACAAAAATATTATAGAGACCGAACCTTTGATGAATTATAATATTTAATGTAACTACCAGTTGACATATTAATGGAACAAATTAATGAATTTGCATAATTATATGCTAGATATTTCGAATATTAGGAATTATAACAAAACAAAACTTTATTTACATCTAGTAAATAAACAAAAAAAATTATAATAAAAATTAATTATAAAATAATAAAATTAATAAAAAATTATAAATATTATTTAAACAAAATTTACAATAAAAATAAAAAGAATCTAAAAGAAGTGAAATTGTACTTATAATAAAAGGAAATTTAGCAGTTTTTGATAAAAGAAAAAATATATTGCGTTCATATAGAAGTTTAGATTATTTTATAGAAAAAGATTTAACTCTTTAATTTGGAGATGAGTTTTTTGAATTAAAAGCAATCGATTTTACTTAAATAGCTATTATTTCTAATAAAGTAATTTAAGAAACAATATATCCTTTGTAATAATAAAAAGAATGGAAAAATTATGATTTTCTTTAATCCACTTCTATTTTATATGATTGGAATTATGAGGAGCTAAAAAACATTCTTTAATATTTTACTAGTGTTACTTTTGGAAAAAATTAGATAGTTTTTTCGGAAAATTAATCTAGTACGTGTGTATTTGCTATAAAAAGTGGAAGCTTTGAAATATATAAAAACTTTTCAAGCTAAATAAACGAAGAGTAAACATAAAACTTACACCTTAACATAAATAAAAATTAGAAAATTTCATCAAAATAATTTATTGTTATAATTTTTTTAATATTTTTATAATTATTAATTAATTTAAAACTTATATTTTTTTATTTTATTTTTAAAAAAGATTGGTTATTTAAATGTGGGAGATTTTTTTGGTGAAGAAGATGTCCTCTTGAATTAGAATAGATAATTTACTGTAATTTGTAATTCTTTATAAGGAGAAGCTATTGCAATTGAAAGCGATAATTATTTCAAGTATATTTATGGTAATAAATTGTCTAAATAAATTATTGAATAAAGGATGTAAAAAAAATAGGAGTTTTTCGCAAGAAGATTTAAAAATATTTAGAAATCTCTTAATTCATATGGATAATATTTAGTTAATTCGAATTTTAAATCTAATGATAGTCCTATATTAAAATTTTAAAATTTATTGTACTTTTTTTTTTTCAAAAGAAATATAAAATTAATATATTTTTTTAGTTAAAACGAAAAAAATTAAGAATAGAAAAAAAAATTATAAAACTTAAATTAAGTTTGCAAATATTAAAAAACCAAGAGTCTATTTAATTTCGTAAAAAATAATGATGTTAAAAATAATGAAAATGAATATATGTTGAATGAACAAGAAATAAAATAATTCAGTATTAAAAAAGAACAAATAAAAAATAGTAAACAAACAAAAAAATTAATATAATGTAATTAAAAAAACTTTAAAAATAAAAATAGTATATTATTATGATTCTCTTTAAACATAAATTTAAGAAAATCAAAAGAATATTTATTTTAAGACTGATTTATATGAAACAGAACAAAAATCTTTACATGAAGAAAATGGATAGTCTTTTTTTTTCCAATAAAAACAGTTTAAAAGTAAAAATCGAAATTTTTTTGAATATTCCTAAAATAGGAATAAATAAAGTTTATCATAATAATTATTATAGTAGAGGTATAAAAAATATATTTTGAAAAAGAAGAAGTCTTGTGATTTTCCTAATAATAAAAAACTTTCTTTAGATTAAAATAATACATAAATTAAGGTTGTTCACAATAATTAAATATAAATTTATAAAAATAATAACTTTTTTCCAACCTAAGGAAATCCATGTTAAATTTTATCAAAAGTCTTGAAAAAAAAAGAAGAAAGTGAAAGGAAAAATCCTTATTTATTATCTTATTTTGAAAAAAATTATTCTACCTTATCCCCAAGATTTTAAAATGAAGAAAAAAATACTTACTATTAAAATATTTGTTTTCCCATTAAATTTTCTAAAAAAAAAAAAAAAAATATTAATTTTAAAAAAGCATCACCAAAATGAGATTGTTAAGCAAAATTTTATAAATTTATATATATTATATAATAAATATTAATTAATTAATACAAAGGTAATTATTTTTTATAGATTTTATATGTTAATATTGTTTTTTATTATTTTTTCTTTATTTTTTTTAATAAATAACTATATATATATATATATATATATATATATATATATATATATATATATATATATATATATATACTAATTTTTTATAAAAAATTAAATTTATTTTATTTTGATATCCTAGAGTTAAAATTAAAGTAATATTTAATTATTTATTTACTTAAATTAATGTTAATTAAACTATTGATATAATATGAATATAGCTAGAGGATTATATTTTTTTATATATAGCAATTTCTATATTTTATTATTCTAGTCTGTTTATATAAAATACATATATTCACTATATTTTATATATAAATAAAATAAAATAAATATGAATAATAATGTTAATAATGTAATAATTTTTATAATAAAGAAATATCTATATTTTTTATACAAAAATTATAAATATAATACTGATTATGATATATATTATTTATTTATAATCATTAGAGTTTATTATTAATATTGATAATAAAAGAATATATAACATAATAAAATATATTTAAAAAATAAAATAAAATAATATTTATATTTATATAATAATAACTATAAAAATAATATTTACATTAATATATTAATATAATATCTATTTATTACAATTAAAATAATAATTTTATTAAAATACATGTTTTTTATTATTTATTTATTTTTTTTTAAAAAAATAAAACATAAAAAATTAAGAAAAATGCAAGAAAATTATTAATATCTTCGTTATGGAGATTAAATATACATTCGTA